TTTACCTGTGTTGTTACTTTACATTCCCACACCAACTCTCTGAGACAGTTATTGGTGTGTTTCTGACACCTTACCAGTATTCTAATAACTCTCCCTTTTGAAGATCAAGCAAAGGGAAAGCATACGCTTGTCAAGATAAACACACTATTTGATGCTGGATCCTGGTATTCAACTTGAAGGTTAATGATCAAAGGGCTCTTTGCTCCCACGATCCAACATTTACTTTCTGTACTCAGACCAGAATCAGAACGGAGCAGGGCAGTAAGTGAACTTCAAGGAGGCTGCCAAATCCAGGAGCAGTGCCTGAGTAACAGGCACTTGCCTCTGTTACCAAACTAAAGGACTTCATTCTCCTGCATTCATCAAAACCAGACAAGAACCGCATTTGCAGCAAATGAAGTGAAGGTTTATTTAAGGAAATGTCACCAAAACCAGAGTCACAGGTGAGCTGTTGCTCCAAGACCTGGCTTGCTGGTGGCTTCTAGGAAATGGGTTGTATAGGGGACTAAGGGAGTTAGGCTTGTGGTCTCCAATGATTGATTAGCACTAAGGTAGGGAATAGTTGATCATTGCATCTGGTCCTGATGTCAGCCATGGTGTCATTCTGCTTCGTTGTACAAGGATTTGTTTGGTGGGATGGTTTTGCTTTCTGGGCTGGAACTGAAACCTAACTGAGACGAAGCTGTTATCTATCGTTTGACCAAAACTCTGTATCTTTGGACAGCAGACAAGGCTTTGTTCCTAAGATTATGCGATGCTGGCCAGAACCTCATTGTCCTGGGGGCTTCGTGATTAAGAGGGTGGACCTGCAAGGGAGAGGGAGGAGGATGATTCAGGGTGCTCCTAGGCTGCAAAGGCCACTTTGAATCAACCTCTGTCTTGAGGTTTAGTTTATAAACGAGAACTTGAGATCATATTCAAGAAGTTATTTGAAAAAATAGTAAGGAAAGTATTTGAATTTCAATTCATCACTCCTGCACCTCCATAGGAAATATAAATCCTGCTCTCTGGTGTCCCGGACTTTCCAGATGCAGGCCACAGGCGTCTCTCAGACTTTGTTTTCCATTACATCCCTACGTGGGTCCCTGGTTTCATCTAAACTGAAATTCTCATCCCTAGTATCATACTGCCACTCCTTTTCCTGTTATTGTTCCCTTTACTTGGAGAGACTTTTTTCTCTCTCTCAAAATCATACTCATCGCGTCACAATACCATCTCCTTCCTGAAACCCGTTTTCATCAGCAACCCTCACACCCTGGGTGAGATGTTTTCTTCATTGAACTCCACAGCCTGTGTCTAAGACTATTTGTATGGCACTTAGGTTACTACTTAATCAGTCTCCAAGACCAGCTCACATAGTGTGGTATACAGATTTAACATATTTTGTCCCCTAGACTTATAAACACAGAATGCCTCATGGTTTCATACTGCATAATGACTCACTGTAACACATTTTCTAAGTGGAAAAAACAACTCAAGGAAATGGAAGGAGCAACACATGTTGCCTTCAGCACGTGTGCAACATGTTATTTGAACCATCTATAATTGGTAGTGCACAATGAGGAAACAGCTCTGTTTTTCTTCTAGCTTTGCCTTCAGAAACACGATTGGCTTTCTCTCCTGTGCCTTGGAGATGTCCTGGGAAGATCCAGTGACTTTCAATTCACTGTTAGGTATTAAAACAGTCTATTTTTTTCAGGTATTAAAAGGTACACCTCGCTAAAAACTTCAAATTGTCATCCATTTCAAAGTGCCACCCTCCTCTCAGCTCAGAAGTGATTTTTGCTCTTTGCTTTCTTCTCCTCCAGCTCATTCTGGCCAGGACACCTGGAGCCACTCCTAATAAACTGCTGGAATATCTCCTTAAACTTTGGGGGAAATGATGCTTACAGTAAGTCAGGTGGAGATGCTGGAAATTCCTTGGCGGAGGAACAAGTCAAAGGCTCAGAAAGGTGGGCGTGTTAGAACGGACGGATGGTGCAACACCAGAGAACCACTAAGTGACCACGAGGCACAGAGGCCCTGTCTTCACTAGAACAGTAAGGAATGCTTCATGGGGGAGACACCAGCATCTGACAAAGACAGTGTTGTCTGTCTGTCCTCTGCAGGCCAATATTAACATTTGAAAATATTTCTGGGAAACTGGGCTCCCTGGTGTCAGTGGATAATAGGATTCTGGAAGAGCAGAAGCAAGTCAACAGCATATAACTATCAGAGCAAAGGTAAGATTGGTGGAATTAATTGGCTGTGTTAATTGTCACAATAAACCCCTAAGAAGACAGGTTATGCAATTATCTGAGTGAATAGCAAGGCTAGAGTGACAACCAGAAGGCCTTGACTCTCAAGATTCTGGCAAGGACTAATACACCATGGTATCTAGGACCAAGATGTATGGGCAGGCAAATGGGGTCCTAGTTGATTTAAAGATCCAAAAAAGATCTTGAGTGAGTTAGTACCGCAAAGAAAATCATGGTCTCTTGTCTAATTTCAAGAGTTGATGTGGATTTCAGATTCAGAATCCATTGATTGACTTGCTGTGCCCCCTTGAGGAAGGTCCCTGAAACACCATAGCAAGTCGTTACAGAAGCTATTAACAATTCTTCCGCAAAGGGACCTGACATACCTTTATCAGATTAACAGTACACTGAGCAAAGTAAACATTTGAGTATTTTAAGGGTTGTGGATAAGCTGACATGGATACCAAGTGACCCAAAATATCACCAGCCTTTTTATTGGAGAGGGGATGTTCAGAGGCCAAGTGATAGATGGAGTTCTAGCCCAAGTCCACGGGCTGTGGAATACTTAGAAGCTGGAAGAGCCCTCTCAGTAGTTCTCTGTGGAGTGATTGGAAAGGCTAAGAGGAATCCCCCAAAAGTTCTCCCTGATCCACAACCCTAGGCAAAGATGGTAGATTGAAAAAACTCTCAGCCCCTTAAAGGAGGCAGGAGTGATTATCTCCATAATAGCTCATTCAATTAACCAGTTTATTCCTTGCTTAAATTAAATAGATCGTGGAGGATGACAATGAACCTTCATTACTGGACTTCTTGGTCACTGGTCCACTATACTGGTGACACCAGGCCAGTTGGACCTGGTAGCAGAAAGTGACTAGAACTGTGAATGCTTAGATAAGAGATGTATTTCCTCAGGTGACAAAGAATAAACCCTATGAAGATTCAGGGATATGACACATCTGTGGCATTTTTTAGAGGTATAATAGTTTAGACCAGGGATTGGCAAACTATGGCCCGTGAGCCCACTGACTTTTAAAAAAATGTTTTTATTTATTAATTTTTTTTAATTTTTAATTTTAATTTATTTATTTATTTATTTATTTATTTATTTATTTATTTTTAGAGAGTGGGGAAGGGAGGGAGAGGGAGAGAGAGGGCAAGAGAGAAACATTCATCGGCTGCCTTCTGCACGCGCGCGCGCGCACACACACACACACACACACACACACCGCCAGGGGTCAACCCAACTCGGGCATGTGCCCTGACCAGGAATGGAGTTGATGACCTCTCAGTGCATGGCATGATTACCAGTCACACTGGCCAGGGCACCTTTTTTTCTTTTTAATGGACCTAAAGCTAAGAATAGTCTTATATTTTTAAATGGCTGGAAACCAAAAAAAGAACTCTTTGTCGTATGTGAAAAATATGTGAAATTAAAAGTTATATTTATAAGTGAATGAAGTTTTTCTATAATAGCCACATGCATTTATTTTCGTATTGTCTACTGTTGTATTCCAGTTTTAACAGCAGACTTGAAAAGTTGCAACAGAGACCACCATATGTGGAACTGTCATCCTTTCATACTGCTGCTCAGTAAGTCATGATGCACTCAGAAAGAATTTCAGGTGCCAAGCATAGTTTTGTACCATGACATTTTATGACATTTTGTTTGGCTTTATTTTGCTTTATTTTATTTTATTTTATTTTATCAGTGCATATCCTTTATGTCAAAAAAAGAAAAGTGGACTTCAAATTTTGCTACAATTATGCTAAAATAACACAATATGTGTCAACATTACCAGATTAAACACTACTCACAGTATTCCAAACTCATTGGAAAGTGACAGTTAAAAAAAATTAGGACACCTATAATAGAGTATCTCCTTATAGCAGAATTTCTTCACAAGAATTAAAAATGTAAATGAAGCTACAACCAAAGTAAGTTTCCAAGTGGCTTATTTGTGAGCAAGCGAGAAAAGTGGTTTACTAATATTAAGCTAGTAAGATAGTATTTGATTGCAAAAGTTGAAGAAATTGTCAAGAGAAAACAAACCTGTTTAAAACAATCAGCCTATGGTAAGAACAGTTAGTCCAAGAGTTGGGAACCTGGGTTGCAACATCAACAGTTGTTACAAAAACAAGGCTGATGGTCCTGGGTATTTTTTTTTCTTGTATCTTAGTGAGTTGGCAGATGCTTCGAAAACTGCTCAGTTGTTGTTTACTTGAGGTAGCAATGCCAAGTTTGAAGTGACTGAAGAACTGAGTTCCATAGTCTGTGTAGAACTACAAGTGAGAATATTTTCAAAAAAGTGGAGAAAATCTCTAATCCAGTACAACCTGAAGTGAGATCTGCAAAGATGTGTTACAAATCCTGGTGGTCAAAATTTGTGTGGAGCAGAAAAGGTTTAATTGGACAAATTTACAAAGCTTATGAAAAAGTAAGAGGTGAAAGCCTGCAGTTTTTCACTGTGTGTCTTATCAGCAGATATTTTGCAGAAAATACAGTCATATGCTACTCAGCAACAGGGAGATGTTCGGAGAAATACATCACTAGGCAATTTTTTGTCATTTGAACATCATAGGATGCACTTACAAACCTGGATGGCATAGCCTACTACACACCAGGCTATATGGGATAACCTATTGCTCTTGGCTACAGCATGTTACCGTACTGAATACTGTAGGCATTGTGGTATTTGTGTATCAAAACATGTCTAAACACAAAAATGGTACAGAAACAATAGAGGGTAAAAAATAAAAAATGGTGCTTGCTTCGGCAGCAGCATATACTAAAAATTCGAATAATACAGAGAAGATTAGAATGGCTCCTGCACAAGGAATGACACACACATTTGTGAAGCATTCCATATTTTTTCTCTAGTTTAAATTTTACCTTCTAAAGTTCAGATCAAGTTTCATCTCTTATATAAGGCTTCCCAAATCTTTATCACTCAACAATCAATCTTTTTCCTTTAGTTTTTCAAATGCTTATCTGTGCCACCATGTTTGCACTAAATTTTATTAAATTGAATTCAATCCAATAGTAGGGCAAGCATATCAATTATAGCCTGGCCGGCATGGCTCAGTGGTTGAAAGTTGTCCTATGAACTGGGAGGTCACAGTTTGATTCCCAGTCAGAGCATATGCTTGATGCCCAGTGTCAGGTGTGAAAAAGGCAGCTGATCAAGGATTCGCTGTCATCATTGATGTTTTTATCTCTCTCTCCCTTCTTCTCTGAAATCAATAATAATAATAATAATAATAATAATAATAATAATAATAATAAAAAGATAATTACAGCATTGACCATAAATGGAGCTTGCAGACAGGAAGTTGCTCTGGGTGAGTGAGTGATGAGTGCATGTGGAGGCCTAGGACATTACTATATGCTATGGTAGATTTTATAAATGTACACTTAGGCTACACTGAATTTATAAAACGACATGAAATTAAATTAAGCACAAGAGAAAAATGATGCAATCAAGAGACATGGTAAACATGATATGTATGAGGCTGCTGCCAACATAACCTGGCAACTGTTTTACAGCAAGCTTTTTTTTATGATTAGGGAAAGTACACTCTAAAATAACACTAAAAGTACAGTAAATACAAAAACCAGAAACATAGCTATTGATTATCATTATCAAGTATTATGCACTGTACATAATTGTATGTGTTATATTCTTTTTAAAAATATATTTTTATTGATTTCTGAGAGGAAAAGAGAGGGAGAAACATCAATGATGAGAGAATCATAGACTGGCTGCCTCCTGCCCAACCCCTACTGGGGACTGAGCCCACAACCCAGGCATGTGCCCTTGGTCAGCATGGAACCTGGGGCCCTTCAGCCCGCAGGTCAACACTCTATCCACTGAGCCAAACCAGCTAGGGCTATGTTATACTCTTACATGACTGGCAGAGCAGTAGGTTTTCTTAAACCAGCTTCACCACAAACAGAGGAATGCATTGTGCTACGACATCCCAAAAGCTATGCTGTCATGAGGCAATAGAAACTTTTCAGCACCATTATAGTTTTTGCAACTACCATTGTGTATGTGGTCCATAGTTGACCAAAACATCATTATGTGATGCAAGATTGTATTTGAGTCTGTCATGTATTGTTAAACCAATAACAAAAATTAGCTTTATTCACTTTTGTGAATTTGAGCGTCTTCACCTCTATGAACTTTTTGTCAGCAATACAAGCTGAATATTCTGACTTGCCTTGCCAAACCATCAGTTTGGTGGTTTGGTATTGGTAAAGTTTAATTGAGATTTTTCTTTTAGCCCAAGGCTGACACTGAAATTTTTCTGAACAAGAAATACCCTCAAACCATTATTATTTAACATGAATGACTTCGGAATTATTTTGCTAATTTTTAGGTATGACTTGTTATGATGGATTCTTATCTTTTAGAGATCTATACTGATATATTTTATAGATGAAAGGGTATGATGTTTGGGATTGGCTTCAAATTAATCAGGTGGAGTCCCTGGCCAGTGTGGCTCAGGTGGTTGCACGTCATTCCATGCACAGAGAGGTCTCCAGTTTCATTCCTGTGCAGGCTCGATCCCCAATAGTGGGCGTGCAGGAGGCACCCATTCTCTCTCATCAATGTTTCTATCTCTCTATCCCTTTCCATTCCTCTTTCTCTTAAAAAAAATGATTAAAAAACATATTTTTAAAAAATCATTAAAAATATATTTTTTAAAAAGCTTTAATAAAATAAAGTATTAAGCTTTCATTTAAATACTATTGATTAATTGGCAATATTTACACAAAACAGTTGGGTATAGCACAAGAATATATAGCCATAACAAGTACGTGGAGGGCTTTCACAAGGTGTAGGCTAAGGCTTGTTCTGTGTAGTCCCAGCATACTGAATTGAGTCCTAAGGGTGGAAGATACAGGAAGGCACATTTTAGCATTAAAAAAGCAACTCTGAACACGCGATTTTTCTAAATATTAGTCTGGAGAAGTGAATTTCTGGCCACTAGAAGTGGTTGGGCCAGTCTCATGTTGAAGATCTGGACGACCTTCAGTGCTTCAGGGCACCACCAACCAGACTTTTGTGAGGTTGAGGCTGAACCAGTTAAGGCAGCCCTACCATTCCCACTGCAGCCAGAAGCACAGCACTGTTGGTTAGCCTCGGGGCCACCTCAGCTGCTGACCCTGGCTCACTTCCTACACAAAAACAGGGCATGGCTGCGGGGAGACAAACCCATTTATCAGAATTTACTGCTGTGAGTGTGCTGATTTTCATCTGTTAGATTCCCCAAAGACGATATGGCAAGGCTGATAATAAAGGGGAAGCAACTGTTTACTTGTAGGGGTACTTAATGAAGGCAGAACTCAATTATTAAGTTACAGAACATTGGAATACAACAATTACAGCAGAATTTTCTGCTTTACCATATTACCTTTTTGTTTAGAAATAAACAAAGTTGAAAGACACAAGCTGTACCCATAAAGTGCTGAAAATAGAGAAAAAAGAAGTTAAGAGATTATTTCCCTGAAATCATCCTTTTCCTCTGAAAGCTTAAGCAGAGATGAAGGAAATGGGCTCAGGAGTTCTAGCACCTTTGGGACTGGTTCCAGATTACTGCAAGGAGGTGGAATGCAGACCAAAGGGACAGGAATTCTGGGCCTGCACGATCTGAGAGGCAGTGGAAAGTGTGGATCTTTGGATCTACATGAGAGGCAGGCCAGAAGGGACTGCTTTGGTGGGTATGAAAATGCGAATACTTTGGAAAGTGTGGTTTCTAACTTCACCATTTTCCTAGCCCAGTTCTGTGTTTTGTTGTTTTTGTTAATCCTCACCAGAGGATATTTTTCCTCCCATTAATTTTTAGAGAGAGTGGAAGGGAGGGATGGATGGGGAGGAGGGAGAGAGAGAGAGACACACACACACAGAGAGAGAGATATCGATTGGTTATCTCCCACATGCATCCAACCTGCAACTGAAGTATGTACCCTCGACCAGGCTAGGGCCCTGTGTCTGGACTTTTAAGAAATTACTTGGTACTTGATTTATTTTAAAGAATATGTATGAGTGAGGCCTGTGTTGCTTGATTAGAATAACTAAAACCAAGAAAAGGGGTTGATAAGGGAAAGAACGAGCTGGGGCTGGTAGATATTGGTTTTTTTGTTTTTTTTTTCAGAAGCCTGCCCTCTTACAACTCCACAGCCTTTGCCTTGGTGGGGGAGTGACAACAATGTGTCCTGCTTGTGCCAACAGAATGCCAAAGCCCCAAATCCAGAGACAGGCTGAGGAGGCTACATAAGTTACGTCATGGAGACCTCGACCAACAACTTCATAAAGACTGTTTTTGGACGTGGCAGTGCAATGCGCAGAGAGCCAGCACGCAGAAGGCAACAGGGCTGCTCAAAATGTCGAGCCTCACAACCTGGCTTTCCAGTGATGTCCAGAGACTGGCATTTGCAATGTTACCAAGACAATAAGAAAGAAAAGAAAGAATAATAAGGTATCTGCCAGGTTTCTCCACTGTAAAGTCACTCTTAGTCCGCTCAGGCTGCTGTAACAAGTTACCATGGACTGGGTGGCTTACTCACCAGACTTTTATTTCTCACAGTTCCTGAGGCTGGGAAGTCCAAGATCAATGTTCTGAGAGATCTAGTGTCAGATAAGAACCCACTTCTCGGTTTGCAGATGGTCAGCTCATTGTATCCTGATGTGGTGGAGAAGGGAGGGAATGGAAGGAAGGGAGGAAACAGAAGGAAGGGAGGGAGGAAGGGAGAGAGATCTCCCATGTCTCCTCATAAGAGCACTAACCTCATTGCTGAGGGTTTGTGCTCTCAACCCAATTATCTCCCAAAGGTTTTATCTCCTAATACCATCAGATTGGGTGTTAGGATTTGAACATATGAAATTGGGGGGGAGGGGGGCACATAAACATTCAGTCTGTAATTGTAATTAAGCATTGTGTGAAGAGGTACTTTGAGATTAGGTAAATATCCTATTCCTCATAAAATGCTTACCCACTCACTTGTTTAAGTACCCACTGGTGTTTCTTGGGTGGACTAGTTATTAATATGATTGCCTCTCATTTCTTCTATATTTATACTTGGCAATATGCTGTGAGGAAAACTTTTAATTTTTATTTATTTATTTCAGTTTCACAGACCCTCCCCTATTCAGAGGGTCATAATCCATTAGTGTCATTATTAATTTTTATGCTCCAAATGAGCTGGCCTCTGTGCCTGTAGCCAGGACCTCCTCACTCATGAGCATTCCCTCACTTTCTGGTGGAAAAACATATTCCCTGCTTCCACCCTGGAATGAGATAGTCCTCCCAGCATCCGGAGTTTCCTTTAATAGAGAATGGTACATGCACATCTATAGTTCCACAAATCTTCACATCTCAATTTCTATGCCAATCTATCTCTATGGAAAACCATGAGTTCTCACTATTTCTAATCCAATTCCACAGGGGTCATTCTAGGTTTGTATCTTTTCTTTTTCTTTTATTATTATTATTATTTTTTAAATATATATTTTATTGATTTTTTTTTTTTCAGAGAGGAAGGGAGAGGACTAGAGAGCTAGAAACATCGATGGGAGAGAAACATCAACCAGCTGCCTCCTGCACACCCCGCACCGGGGATGTGCCTGCAACCAAGGTACATGACCTTGACAGGAATCTAACCCAGGACCCTTCAGTCCGCTCCACTGAGCCAAACCGGTTTCGGCTAGGTTTGTATTGTTTCATAGTTGTCATCTCTTACAGTGAGAAATCTGACTCTGTGGCTGACTACGTAGTAGTAACTTGTAGAACCTGGTGGAAAATGAAAAAGCAAGGGCCCTTGTTCAAAAAGCAGGGGAAAGGTACTGCATATAAATCTTTTCCCTTTA